TAAATCACCCATTATTTGGAATGAGAGAGGTGACATCAATACAGATATTAAAAAGATTAGTTGTTAGCAGCCATAGAGTCAAAACGTAACTCATGGTGATCCCATGCACAATGGAACAAAATGCTGCATGTGGCCCTTTAACTGCTGATCAGACTATTATGGTCCATAGGGTTTTCAGTAGTTTGCCAAGCCATTCTTCTTAGTCCAAAAGCTCTGCTGAAACCTGTTTAGCATCATAGCACCACACAAGCCTCTACTGACAGGTGGGCGGTGGCTGTGCCTGAGGTCTCTTGAATGGAAGGCAAGAATTCTACCACTGAGGACATATTATGAACAGCTTCATGCCAATAGAATGGACAACTTAGATGAAATGTACCACTTCTTTGAAAAATACAAACTAAGCTCACTCTAGAAGAAATAGACAACCTGAATAGCCCTGTTTCTTTAAAATAGAGTTCCAAGAATCGTTATTGGTAGGAGAAAGAGATACGTTTGAGGCACAGTAGGGAACCACAGCAGGCCTGACCCACCTTCCAGACCTCAGCAATTGCTTTGACTTGATGGACAATGTGGAATCAAGATGACAGAGGTTCGCAAAGCTCAGCCAACTTTGCTTGGGAAAAGCAGAGTCATCATGAGATCGCAGCTCTCTGCATTTCTCTAAGGCACTAATCAAATACTCTCAGATTACACTGAAAGACAAAGTGGGTGGGGAGTTTTATTTTGCACCCACACCTTAACACACCTTTGGTAATTCATTGTCAGTTGAGCTCTGTTTGTGGGTACATAGCCCTGACGGGAGAAGCTGTGTGTGCTTTCATTTACCATGACCTTGGACAAACCTAAAATGTAGATTCTTTCAGCACCCATAGAGGTTAGTTAAGTAAGTATTAAATAAAAGCATTCCGATGCAAGGCTTGACACACACTAAGAGCTACATAAACATTCCCTCCCATTTGGAGGCACACTGGGCATCCCACAGAGCTACTTACCCAGCTGGAAGTCTAACCAGGGACTTTTTTTCTCTCTTACTCTCTCTCCATTTTTGAATTTCTCTTAAGCAAGCAAGGGACCTGTATTCAGAAAATCAGTTACCGTATACAAATCATTTTATTGGATCTTAGAAAAAGCAGACATTTGCATTTTGAAGCGTATGATGAGCTCACACCCAAGAAAATTATTCAGCACTTGTTTTTCCGCTTCTGCGGCTCTCCCAAAATAGTTTCTTCAGTCCAACTCTTGCGGATTTCTAGGTCTCTACTGACCTACCACTGGCTAGTTTTGCTTTGGGGGAGAGACACTACTCCACCCCACACAACACTGCTCTGCTCAGAGGCTGGAACCAGAGAGGGGTGAGTCTCCGCTTGCCCCCGGGCACAGCGCGGGGAGGGGGCGGATCTGGAGGGGGTGTTACGAAATTACCAGGAACAGATGGCCCCTCCTTGGAGGGGAGGGACCGAGGCCCGGGAGGTTGGTTCTCCGGGAGGCGCAGTCAAGGATCCCAGAACTTAGTTCTGGGCTGCTTCTTGGACTCTGGCCGCCTCTGTGTGCAGGTGCCCCGCGCGCCCCTCACTCAGCCATGTCGTCCTGCAGCCGCGTGGCGCTGGTGACTGGAGCCAACAAGGGCATCGGCTTCGCCATCGCCCGCGAGCTGTGCCGGCAGTTCTCAGGGGACGTGGTGCTCACTGCGCGGGACGCGGCGCGGGGTCGAGCGGCCGTGCAGCAGCTGCAGGCAGAGGGCCTGAGCCCGCGCTTCCACCAGCTGGACATCGACGACCTGCAGAGCATCCGCGCCCTGCGCGAGTTCCTGCGCCGCGAGTACGGGGGACTAAACGTGCTGGTCAACAACGCAGGCATCGCCTTCAAGTGTAGGTGCGGGGAGTCAGGGGGTCTTTGGGGGGCCCCCACCCGCTTGAGTGATCCAGAGGGGCAGCTTCCGCAGCTCCGGATGCGTTCAGCTTTGCCATCTGGGCGGCTCACTTTGCGAAAGGCGGCCGCCTGCCGGGCACAGCGCGTCCCGCCTGTACCCCCGCCTGTGGGAGCCCAGGCCTCCTGAAACTCAGCGGCTGTTGTTTGCCAGAAAACTGAACTCCAGGGAGGGGCCACACCCTGCTAAGCTCATCAGCTTTGTGCACAATACCAGAAACATTTTCTCTGCGAAGCATCTCCAAATTCATTTTGGGCTTTCGCTTCCCTTGAAAGGATGCATTCATAGATGCCAGAGGCATCTACTCAGGACAGGAAATGCAGCGCTAAGACATGATTCGCGCGCTCTGGCACTTTTGAGCGGACGTTAGGCTTTCTTTTATGGAGATCTTTGATAGGCTCTGGGAAAAAAGGAAGCGAACCTTGGCTTCCTCCCCCAGGGAGTTTATGTTTGTTATTCAGAATGTAAATGCAGTTTTAAATAGTGTCTTCCTTTGCCTGGTGGGGGGGAGATGAAGATTACATATTTTAACTAGTACTTAATTAAGAAAGGAAAGCTATTGCGCAACCACATGCTGGGGGTTGGGGCGGTAAACAAACAGGCCAGCTTCATTTATAACCTAGTGTCCGAGAGATTCGTGCCAGACGTTAGAGGCAGGAGAGAGTAAAGTGAACCATTCTGGAGCGGAAGCCGCTATCCTCTGGGCCCTGGGCACTCAAGTCCAAGGTAGCCTTCACTTGCACCTTCAACTCTGTCTGCAGGTTTTCTAGGATGCTATCCTGGAGTAGGGCAGAAGTGAGGGGGAGCAGCCTCTAGTAGAGAGATCGGTAGTTAAATACCCCGCTTCCTAGACGTCAGGTTAAACTACTGAGGTGAGCTAGGAGCTCTTGCCCCTGTAAGTATAGGCCTTGAACCAGCAGTATCTGTGTCACCTGGAGACCTCTGCAGAATCTCAGGCCTTGCCCCAAACCTGAATCACAACCTGCATTTTAACAGGACCTGTAGGTGCCTCTGATGCTAGTCAAGTTTGAGAAGCAGTGGTCAAACCTAGGAGTCCTCAAAATGGGACTCACAGATGAGTAGCTGCAGGATCAGCTAGGAACTTGTTAGAGATTCTCAAGCCCCAACCTATACCTACCAGTTGCAGTAGTCAATTCAGACTCACACTGACCCTATGTGTTAGAGTAGAACTGTGCTCCATAGAGTTTTCAATGGATAATTTCTGGGAGGTAGATCACCAGGCCTTTCTTCTGAGGCACCTCAGGCTGCACTTGAACCTCCAACCTCTCTGTTAACAGCCAAGCTTGTTAACCATTTGTACCAACCAGGGACTCCTCGCTGAAGCACTCAGAAACTATATTGTTAATGGGTGCTCCAGATGATTCTGATACACACTAAAAGGAAAAGTTGATTAAGTTACTGTATTAATTTAAGCCAGATGCAGCTTTCCAGTGCTCATCAATGAATTTAACCCTGTATGGGGAAAAAAGGTTTGAGAACCTCTGATAAGATGGTTTAAACATTGTTGTAAAGTTGGCTTGTTTTTCTTTAATTTTTATATAATAGGATCCACTTGGTCATATGAATTTTAGGCTAAATATATGACTGTTTCATTTTGTTTGTGGAAGTGGATGATCCAACGCCCTTTGACATTCAAGCTGAGATGACACTGAAGACGAACTTTTTTGCCACGAGAAATGTCTGCACTGAATTACTGCCAATAATAAAACCTCATGGTAAGTCTAGTGAGCATGTGGATTGTCCAATTGCATTAACAAGGAGTAAGCCACCATTTCCCAGGATAGGGCTGCTCCACAGGAGTCATCCAGGGGTGCCGTTTCTCTTTAGGGGAAAAAAACATATCTTTAGTTTTAAAAGATATGTTACACGTGTCATGAACTCAATGATCCAGTGACAGAATTGTTGTTAATTGCTGTGGAGTCTGCTCTAACTCATGGTGACCTCATGTTTGACAGAATAAAACACTGTCTGGGTCCTGTGTTATCTTCGTGATCATATGCTTGAGTCTGTGGTCACTGTGTATCTTGAGTGCCTTTCAGTGTAGGGGCCTCATCTTCCAGCACTATATAGGACAGTGTTCTGTTGGGATCCACAGGATTTTGATTGGCTGATTGTGTTAGATCTTCAGGTCTTTCTTCCTAGTCTGTCTTAGTCTGGAAGCTCCACTGAGAACTGTCTACCATGAGTGACCCTGTTGGTATTTGGAATATCAGCAGCGTAGTTTCCAGCATCATAGAAACATGCAAACCACCACACACAGTATGAGAAACTGACAGATAAGTGGTGGGATACAAAACCAAACCAAACTCACTGCCATTGAGTTGATTCAGACTCAGCTTTCTGAGGTGATAAATCTTTACAGAAATAGATTGCCAAGTCTTCCTTCCGTGGAGTGGCTGAGTGTATTTGAATCTCCATCCTTCTGGTTAGCAGTCAAATGCCTTGACTTACAAGTCCCAAAAGGCCTCTTGCTTTTATCCAGTCTCAGGGAATCCTTCTCCAAGGTAACAGGGCTAGAGCCAGCTCTTCTGGGGGGCCAGGGATAGTATCTATTCTACCATTATTCCTTTCTTCTTGCATCAAATTTTGTCAAGCTGATTCAGAAAATCTGAGAGAAATTTTATTAGGAAATATCCTGACTATACCCCCCAACTAAAGTGTTCTAGTGGTGCAGTAGTTAAAGCATTGGGCTACAAACCAGTTTGAACCTACTAGCCACACCATGGGAGAAAGATGAGGCAGTCTGCTTCCATAAAGATTTACAGCCTAGGAAACCTTATGGGGCAGTTCTGCTCTGTCCAATAGGCTCACCATGAGTCATAATCAACTCAATGACAATGGGTATAAACCTCCCAACTATTCAATACATAATTTTTCAACAAATAATTCTTGAGTCCTTGCCAGAGGCCAGGCATTATGCTGGGTGCTAGGGACACAAGGTGAACAACAGTAGTCAGGGGCACAGAGTTGGCAGGGGAAGAGAGCCATTCATCAGAATCAAATGTGAAATTACCACTGTGCTGGGATGGTAAGGGAAAAGGATGACTTCTCTGAGGATTTTCTTTCCCAAGAAGTCAACTATGGTTCTTAGCAAGAAGTCCGTGATTCTTATTATAAATGCTACTGCCTCGGAAACCCAAGGAGGGGTCGCTATGAGTCAGGGCTGACTTGACGGCACATAACAACAACAACAACAACAACCAGTTTCCAGATATTAGCAAGGTCACCCATGGTTGTAGAATACCTTGAGCCCAGGTATATAGAGTTGGTGAGTGCTCTTGGCCAAGAAAATAAGAGTTTTTAAATGTGAAGCTAAGCAAATATGAATGCATATTCTTTTTAACTTATTTTTTTTAAAACGGGGGGGGGCAATAAGTATAGTGTTCCCCACCTTGTTTTTTCACTTAATGTATCTGGGGCCCTTTCCAGATCAGATCCAGAGAACCTCCTCATTCCATCTTGGCAGCTATATTGTATTTCATACCCGGCTTCAAACCAGTTCATCGCAGTTCAACTCCCTGCTGAGAATTTGCATTTCCACCCCAGGTATATTGAATCAGAATCTACATTTTAACATAAAATCACCTAGGGGATCTTGTTAAAATGTAGATTCTGATTCACTATAGATGGTGGAACTAAATTCTCAGCAGGGGGTCAAATTGGAATGAACCAGGTGAAGGCCACTGGAGGGGTATTTTATACAGGCTATCCCCTAGTTACAAACAAGAGTCATTCCTAAGTATATCTTTAAGTCTAATTTGTAGGTAAGCTGGAACAGGTGCATACAGTTCTTATTTAGCCTTATAATGATTTAAAGGCTTGAAGACTTTTCGATGATTTAAAAGCTGCACATGCAGCAAGTAAAGGTGATTATGATGAATTTGTTGTGAGTAGGGGTTGGTTTAGTCCTTTCAAAGTAAGGGCAAATTTACATAACATTAAAGGACAAGTATAAGTTGTCTGTAAGTCCAAAGTTCATAACCTGGAGACTGCTTGTACCAAGTCCCAGGAAGTTTTCTCTCTGATGCATTTTAGAATCATCGAATTTGAGAGCTGCAAGGTACTGAAGAAATCTTTTGTCCCCACATCCTCACTTTACACACAGGGAAAGTGAGGCCAAAACCTTATCTTTCTTCAAAAGAATGGCTCGTAGGGTTGAACCACGGAGCTTTTGGTTAGCAGCCGAACGCTTTAACACCTGCACCTCCATGGCACCTTACATGAACACAACCAGGTAGTAATAGAGCTGGAAATGTTCTGATTTCCTCACTTCTCCACTCAATCAAATCAGGATAATTAATTTTACTGAAGTAAAAATTGTAGTGCCAAATGATTGAAAACCAAGCCATTTTAAAAGATAATGGAAGCGTCTGGGGGAGGGTGGGGGCTCAGGGATCAAACCAGAGCAGGTGAATCACTGATTTTAATCAGCTTCTGTAAAAACCTCTTTATCAAGTGTTGAGTAGGAGGAACCTGATATAATTTGGGAAGTTAACACTTTTAGAATGTGGTATTCCAATTTAGGGAAATTATGACTCAAAGGCAGTGTGGTGGTGTCTTGAGCCTCTGGTAACTTAAGCAAAGTGACATGCCACCAACTGGCTATATGCATAAGGACAGCATGGGTCTGAAGTGTATAAAGTGTTACAGCTGTTCATTGATACCGTGGTGAGCCTACACACAACAGGAGGGCCAGTGGTTTTTATTGGCTGTTTTTTATAAGTAGATTGCATAAACTGTTACAGCTCTTAGTTGGTGTCATGGTGATTCTATGCACAACAGAAGAGCCTTTGGTTTTCATCAGCTCATTTTGCTAAGTACATTGCTAGGCCTTTCTTCCTAGTCCATCTTAGTCTGGAAGTTCTGCTGGAACCCGCTCAGTATCACAGCAACACACAAGCCTCCACTGACAGATAGGTGATGGCTACTCATGAGATACACTGACCAAGAATCAAACCCAGGTCTCCTGTGTGGAAAGTGAAAACTCTACCACTGAACCACCACAGCCCCCAGATGCATGCTACCCCTCTGTGTAAGCGCTTCCTGGTAGCCTTCTAAGGAGTTCTGGTGGCGCAGTGGTCAGATGACTACTAACCAAAAGGTCAGTGGTTCAAACCCACCAGCTACTCTGAGGAAGAAAGATGAGGCAGTCTGTTTCTGTAAAGATTAACAGCCTTGGAAACTCTATGGGGCAGTTCTACCCTGTCCTGTAGTGTCATTATGAATCAGAATTGACTAGATGGTAGTGGGTTTTAGGAGCCTTCTAAGAGAGGATGGATAGCACTATAGTTAACAACATCATGGCCAATCTTTGGCAAGCCTTGATTTTGATTTGCCTGATACTGGAGTGGAGCCAGAATCTCACCCTCTAAACTCTGGGTCATACTTGATGATTTCTAACATCAGTTTTATTTCTCAAAGCAGGAATGTGATTTATAACCCATTAAGAATGGTTGTGACTTTTCAATAAACCTCAAGTTTACCTGGGGGGCAAAATGCTGAGCATCATTTTCTCTTGGTGTGTAGGGAATCACTTTCTCCAATACAAAACTGATTAGAAAGCCACTCTTTAGTTTTATGACATCACTTTAAAGAGAGTTGTCAGATACTACCAAGCCAGTAGGGGGAGCAACTTACCCATTCTTTTTTGGAACATTTAGGGCTATGCCTGGACACATCTGGGTGTCAAGACCAAGTGTTTGTGTTGTTGTTGTTGTTGTTATGTGCCGTCGAGTGGGCCCCGACTCACAGCGACCCCTCCTTGGGTTTCCGAGGCAGTATCACTACGGAAGTAGGATTGCCCAACATTCCTTCCGAGGAGTGGCTGATGGGTTTGAACCGCCAGCCTTCTGGTTAGCAGTCAAGTGCTTTAGCCACTATGCTACCAGAGCTCCCCAAAATCCCACCCAGAGATATACCCTTAGGTCAAAGAAAACACTTCCTCCCCTTGTTAGTTGTTGTGGAGCTGACTCTGCCTCACGGCAACCCCACGTGTGGAGAGTAGAACTGCTCCATAGCGTTTTCAATACTATGAGTTTGGGAAGCAGATTGTCAGGCCTGCCTTGAGACACCTTTGAGTGGGTTTGATCCGCCAGCTTTTTGGCCAGTAGTGGAGTGCTCAACCATTTGTGCCACTCAAGGTCTAGCAGGAATTTTATTTCTATGAAAGGTATCGAGTAGTTCCTGTAATTTGTTTTTCTTTTGTTTCTTCCTTTCTCTTTTAAATTTAATTCCTCATAGCCACCAAATCATTGAGACTAAAGCTATTTAAAAAGTAATGAAGAACACAGCATCACCTATGTAGTATTCCTGGCCAAATTATTAAACTGAATGTAATCAAATTGGGAGAAATTCTACAAAATACTGACCTAAAGTCTTCAAAAAAGGGTTTGCCATTGTCATCTACTATAGATTAAAGTAGACTGAAGAGAGATGACAACTAAATGCAACATATGATCCTACATTGGATCTTGGATTCAAATAAACAAAAAACTATAAAGGGACACTCTTGGGATGATTGAAAAGATTTGGATATGGACTGTATACATCAGGTAATAGTTTTTGTACAATGATCAATGTCTTGAGTGAGATCGCAGTTGTGATTATGTAGGGGAACATGGTTGTTACCATGTTGTTGTTGTTGTTATGTGCCGTCGAGTCGGACCGACTCATATCGACCTCTCCTTGGGTTTCCGAGGCAGTATCACTACAGAAGTAGATTGCCCAACCTGTTACCATACACATGAAAAATTATTTAGGGTCAAGGTTCATGACATCTGCAACTCAGAGGAAGACCGAGAACAAGCAAAAATGTGGCAGAATGTTAACAGTTGGTGCACTTAGGAGAAGGGTAGATGGATGTGTCTTGAACTATTCTTACAACTTTTCTGTAGGTTTCAAATTTTTCAAAATTGGAAAACAAATATGTATTACCATTTAAAGATATATATATATACTATTTATGTATGTGTGTGTGTGTGTGTATATATATATATATATGTATACTGAAAAGTCATAGGTACCTGGGACATGAGTTAGGTGCTATAGGGAGAATGTCTTCAGATGGGGTTGGGGCCCAGTAGACAGTGCAATCCTCCCCACTTTCCCAAGCATGTGCCTGTGGAGAAGCCACTCAGAAAATAAAATAAAATCCAGAGAGGTCTAGCTGGAGGCAGAAAATACAGATCCAGAGTAATATGTGAGAATAGAACCCCAAGACACTGAGCTTCTGTTCAGGTGATAGAAAAATTCCGGAATGGTTAATGGTGATGGTTGTATAATGTGATGAATGTAATTAATGCCACTGAACTATACAAATGAAGATTGTAGAAATGACAAATGCTCTGTTACCTATATACTTACTACAATAGAAAAGAACCTGAAATTCGATGTTTTTTGATACTGGGTGAAATGTATAAACTCAGCATGTTTACTGGTTTTGGATATCCGTAAATGCTTCAGATTTGTTGTATAGTTTTTGGTCTGTGTATTTGTTGTTAGACACCCAACTGTCTCTTTAAACAAATCAATTGCTGTTGAGCCGAGTCTGACTCATGGCAGTCCCATCTGTGTGAGAGCAAGCCGTCCTCCATAGGGTTTTCCATGGCTGATTCCTTGGAAGTAGATTGCCAGGGCTTTCTTCCAAGGTGCCTCTGGCTGGACTTAAATCTCCCACCTTTTGGTTAGCGGCTGAGCAAATTCACTGTTTGAACCACCCAGGCACTTCAAATGTCTCTTTTCAAATTTTTATTTTTTATAGTAGTTTTAGGTTTTCAGAAAATTGTGCAGAAGTATAGAGTTCCTGTCTGCTTCTCCACATTCCTGTGGTACATTTGTCACAATTGATACATTTTGTGTTGTACAGACCTGTGGGGTTTTTCACTTGCTGTAGAAATTTATTGCTACAAAAATAACACATTTGCTATTTCAACATTTTTCACATGTACAATTCAGTGAGACCAATTACATTGATCATGTTGTGCAACCATCACCAATAATCTGTTGCCCAACTGTCTCTTTGTTGTTGTTGTTATATGCCATCGAGTCGGACCGACTCACAGCGACCCCTCCTTGGGTTTCCAAGGCAGTATCACTATGGAAGTAGATTGCCCCATCTTCCTTCCGAGGAGTGGCTGGTGGGTTTGAACCGCCAGCCTTCTGGTTAGCAGTCAAGTGCCTTAGTCACTATGCTGCCAGAGCTTCCTGTCTCTTTAGTAACTGTACATTATTAAAGAGAATAGTTTATTAATTATGGCAAAAAAAAAAAAAAAAAGGTGAAAATCAAAACCAGGATGGAAAATAAACCTACTCCAGGTGTGTAATTATCTGTCACTAAGGGCAGGTTTCAGGAGAGCTCTGGTGGCATAGTGCCTAAGGCATTTGACTGCTGACCAGAAGGCTGGTAGTTCAAATCTACCAACCAATCCTCAGAAGGAAGACTGGACAATCTACTTCTGTAGACATACTGCCTCGGAAATCCAAGGAGGGGTCATTATGATTTGGATCCAACTCTACGGCAGTGATTTTTTTTTTTTTTTTTTTTCAGTTAACTGGATACTAAAATACAATGAAGCAATGCCTTCAAAATTATGAGGGAAAATGATTTTTTTTTTTTTGGAAGGGTAGGTTTCCCCACCCAACTGTTGTTTTATTGCACTGTGGTGGCTTGCATAGTACTGTGATGCTGAAAGTTATGCCTTTGGTATTTCAGATACCAGCAGGGTCACCCATGGTGGACAGATTTCAGTGGAGCTCCCAGACTAAGACAGACTAGGAAGAAAAGCCTGGAGATCTACTTCCAAAAATTAACTCATGAAACCCATTGCCATCAAATAGATTCTGATTTGTAGCAACCTGGTAGGACAGAGTAGAACTGCCTCTCAGGATTTCCAAGGCTGTAATCTTTACGAAAGCAAACTGCTACATCTTTCTCTCATGGAGAAGCTGGTGGGTTCAAACCACTGACCTTTTGGTTATTAGCCATACTTAACCCCTCACCATGAGGGCCCCTCTAGCCAATGTAAATAGGTCAAAAATTTTAAAATCCACTAGTGTACAGATTTTATGCCTTCTGAAATAATTTTTTTATGTCAGCAATTAAACCTGAAAAATAACTCAGTTGTACATTTGGTATATTCAACCAATGATGGTTTGTTTGTGAACATTTCCATACTTTTATTATTCTGTCCCAGGCCGCGTGGTGAATATCAGTAGCTTACAGGGTTCCAAAGCGCTGGAGAACTGCAGTGAAGACCTGCAGGAGAAGTTCCGATGTGAGACGCTCACGGAGGAGGACCTGGTAGACCTCATGAAGAAGTTTGTGGAGGATACAAAAAATGAAGTGCATGAGAGGGAAGGCTGGCCCAGCTCAGCCTACGGTGTGTCTAAGCTGGGAGTAACAGTTTTATCACGAATCCAGGCAAGGAAACTGGATGAGAAGAGAAAAGCCGATAGGATTCTGCTGAACGCTTGCTGCCCTGGCTGGGTAAAGACTGACATGGCTGGGGATTATGGCTCCAGAACTGTAGAGGAGGGGGCCGAGACTCCTGTCTACTTGGCCCTCCTGCCCCCAGATGCTACTGAGCCTCATGGCCAGCTGGTCCGAGACAAAGTAGTCCAAGACTGGTGAATGCTTTGGAGCTTAATGTTGAATAAATGTCTGTGGAATTAATGAATGAATTCTGATTGCGTTTCTGTCTATTGAGAAAGAGTGTCAGAATTCTCCCTGTCAGAAAGGTCTACAGTTCTAGAAGATGAAGCTGAACCATTTTGCCATGCCAAAACTATTGGGCCCAAGAGGGAAAAGAACATTGATTCAATGGTTCTCATATTTTAGTATGCATCAGGATCACTTGGAAGGCTTGTTAAAACAGATTGTTGGGCCCCACCCTCCGTCCCTGGGTGGTGTAAATGGTTAACCGCTCAGCTGCACAGTGAGAGCCTGGAGGTTTGAGTCCACCCAGAAGCACCTCAGAAGAAAGTCCTGGTGATCGACTTTGAAAACCCCAGCCATTAAAAACCCTGCAGAGCACGAGTCTATTCTGACACATATGAAGTTTCCGTGAGTTGGAATTGATTTGAGGGCAATTGGTTTGTTTTGTGTGTATGTGTGTTTGTGTGTGTCTTATCCCCAGAATTTTTGATACAATAGGTCTGGAATTGGGCTTGAGAATGACTATTTTTAACAAGATCCCTGAATGGCAGAAAAAGTTTGCACTCAGTTAATAACCTAAAGATTGGAGGGGCAGATAGTTTTGGAATGGTGAAATGGTTCAGTGGCATCACAGAAGAAAGGCCTGCCAATCTGTTTCCATAAAGATTAAAACCAGAAAACAAACCCCTTGCCATCAAGTCAGTTCCTACTTACAGCAACTTTATAGGACAGAGTAGAACTGTCCCATAGTGTTGCCAAGGCTGTAATCTTGTTTTCTCTCTTTTTTCTAAATATTTTATTTATCTTGTTAAGAATATACACAGCAACACAGACACCAATTCAGCAGTTTCTACATGTACCATTTAGTGACATAGATTATAGTCTTTGAGTTGTGCAAACCATTCTCACCCGCCTTTTCTGAGTTGTACCTTCCCCATTAATATAAATTCACTGCCACCTAGGGTTCCTATCTAATCTTTTGAGTTGATGTTGTCAATTTGATCCCGTATAGATAGTTCTTAAAAGAGCATAATGCTCAGGGCAGACATTTTTCGCTAGTTAAGCTATTGTTTGGTTTCAAGAAGACTTTAGGGGATATTTTCATTCTAAGGGTTCATCCAATTTCCGTGGCTCCAGGAAGTCTGGAATCCATGAGAATTTGACATTCTGTTCTGTGTTTTTCCCCTTTTGATAGGTATTCTTCTATAGAATCTTTGATCAAAATGTTCCGTAATGGTAGCCAGGCACCATCTAGTTCTTCTGTTCCCAAGGCAAAGGAGGCAGTTATTCATGGAGGCAGTTAGCCACACATTACATATATTCCTTCTCCAAAGCTGTGATCTTTATAGAAGCAGACTGCCTCATCTTTCTCCTGTGGAGCAGTTAGTAGGTTCAGACCACCGACCTTTCGGTTAGCAGACAAGTGCTTAACCATGGCACCACCAGGACTCCTTTCTATAAAGATCACTGTCAAGAAAACCATATGGAGCAGTTCTACTCTGATACATGGAGTCACATGAGATGGAATTGACTCAATGACAATGGATAACAAGTTCCCAGGTGATACAGATGCTGCTTGTCCAGCACTTTGAGAACCACTGGTCTAGTGAATGGTCTTAGTGCTCTGGGGTTAGGCCTTAGCCACTCTCAGCTGCTTCTAGTTTATTCTAGGTCTTTAGGATGAATTATCCTATTTCCCTAGCTCTGTAATTCTCCTTTGCATCTCATTCTGTTTGATTATATTCAATATTTTAAGAACCAACATTTTAATTGGTTCTTAGACTTGAGAATTATAGCTTGAAGAGCTCTGAGGCTTGCCTTTTTGGAGGGATATGATTTCTACCATATTGGATCTTTCATCTGGGTTTTGCATTCTGTGTGTCCACCCATCACCCCTCCCTGTAGCATGTTTGAAAGGTGGTCATGCTATGTTTTCCATCTTTCTGTGCTTTTGTAACTTTGTCCAGCTCTCCTCTTTATTCCAACTTAGGCAGATACCTTCTTCTGGACCTGTTCTGCTCCTCTCTAACTTACAACTCAGGGTGATTCTTCAGATAACTTCCCTTTTATAGTCTCTATGACAGAGCATTCAGTGGTAGAATTCTCACCTTCCGTGTGGGAGCCCGGATTCATTTTCCAGCCAGTGTCAGTAGAGGGTTGCATGTAGCTATAATACTGAATGGGTTTCAGCAGAGCTTCCAGATTAAGAAGGACAAGGAAGAAAGGCCTGGTGATCTACTTCTGAAAATCAGCCAATGGAAACACTATGCACTACAATAGTCCGATCCGCAACCAATCATAGGAAAGGTACAATGTTTCATTCTATTGTTCATGGGTCACCGTGAGTTGGAGGCTGATACAACTACAGCTAACAACAACATGACAACAGAGTGCTCCATGTTCACTGCCTTGAAGTAGGATGAGTTATACCCTGTAGAAGACAGACTTGGAGGACAAAGCAAGAAAGAAGAACTTACTTGCAAATAGGTGTTATGGATTGAATTGTGTCCCCCCAAAATTTGAGTCAGCTTGGCTAGGTCATGATTCTCAGTGGTTTTGCAGTTATGTAATGATGTAATGTGGCATATATGTAATGACACCCCATGATGTAATGCAACACCCTTAGTCCCATCACAGCCATGACCCGATGTAAACAGAGCTTCCCTAGGGTGTAGCCTGCAATACTATTTATCTTACAAGAGATAAAAAGGAGAGAGAAGCAAGCAGAGAGAGGGGACATACTACCACCAGGAAAGAGCTGAGAGCGGAGCACATCTTTTGGACCCCAGGTCCCTGCTCTGGGATCCTCCTGGGACCAAAAGACAAAGAGAAAATCTTTCCATAGAGTCAGCACTCTGAATTCAGATTTCTAGCCTCCTAAACTGAGAGAGAAGGAGCTCTGGTAACACGGCACCTAAGGCATCTGACTGCTAACCAGGAGGCTGGTGGTTCAAACCCACCAGCCACTCCTCAGAAGGAAGGTTGGGCAGTCTACTTCCATAGTGATACTGCCTCGGAAACCCAAGGAAGGGTTGCTATGAGGGGGGTCCAACTCGATGGCACATAATAACAACAACAACAACAAGCTGTGAGAGAAGAAGCTCTGGTAACACAGTGCCTAAGGCATCTGACTGCTAACCAGAAGGTTGATGGTTCAAACCCACCATCCACTCTGTGAAAGGAAGAGTGGGCAATCTACTTCCATAAAGATTTACCACCTTAGAAACCTAAAGGTGGTCGCTATGAGTCAGAATTGACTCAACAGCAGTGGGTTTATTTATTTATTTATTTTAAAAACCTGTGAGAATATATTTTCTGTTTGTTAAAGCCATCCACTTGTGGTATTTCTGTGAAAGCAGTACTAGAGAACTGAAACAGTACACAAGGGAGTCAAGATGTCAGAATGACTGGCTCACCAAAAAACAGCAAAAAAAAAAAAACAAACAAAACACTAGGAGCACAACAAGAAGATGCAAAGGGGAAAGAGAAAATTACCAAGGTTCCCAAGTTGGTGATAGCATCCTCAAAGTGGGAAAACAGCAACATTTTCACTCAATTATCATTTTCACAAAGGTCACATTATATCTTCTGACATCAGCATGGCAGAAATGAGGATAATGTTTTAGACCTGGGACTCAGTAAAATGTGGAAATGCTCCAGAGTTCATGTACTGGAGGGATCAGGACTGAACAGGGTAACCATGTTATTTCTGGTTCTTCGCAGGGTGCAGCGTGTTTCTTTTCTTTCTTCTTTTTTTTTTTTTTTTGGCAGTCAGACTTACAATGTCTGCAGTACAAAGTGTCAGTTTAATTATCATAACCCTCACCTCATTTTTTCTATCCAATTTGGGCAGAAAGAAATCTGACTGCATTTCACTGTGTTTAGGCCATTTCCTAAATAAGTCCATTACCTGAATAAGTCCAGCTTGTTCAAGTGTCTCCGGCCATAGCTCCCAAGTAAATTTAATGACTTCTTGTCTCTTTCTAAAAACAATTTAATGGTGTTCAATATATTTCCTAAATACCTTTCCTACTTTGGTTGTGCTCTGCAGTACTCCAGAGAAGTGTGGCATACTCTGAGGACCTGCTGGATTAAATCACTGACAGTAAATCCACGAGTAAATAAGCCAATTCCTTTAATTTATTCTCTTTTGGCTCTAGCCAAATCCCACTTTGACATTTTGAATCAGCATGTAGCCGCTGTGTTGTTAGTTGCCATTGAGTTGTCTCAGACACAGGATGACCTTATGTATAACAGAACAAAATGTTGCCGACTCCTGCACCAGCTTCATGTTCCATCATGATTATTGGTATGTTAGAGTCCATTGTTGTAGCTATTGTATAGCACTTTCCAATTTAAGGGGCTCATCTTCCAGTACTGTGTTGTTAGGTGCAGTCGAGTCCGCTCTGACTCCTAGCGATCCTGTGCACAACGGAACGAAACATTGCCCAGTCCTGCACCATCCTCACAGTCCTTGCTATACCCAAGCCCATCGTTGCAACCACTGTGTCAATCCATTGTATTGAGGGCCTTCCCCTTTTTTGCTAACCCTCCATTTTACCAGGCATACTACCTGTTTTGTTTACTTCATGCTGCTCTAACAGAAAATACCACAAATGGGTGGCTTTAAAAACAAGGATTTATTCTGTTACTATTTAGGAGGCTAGAACTCAGAGTTCAGAGTGCCAGCTCTAGGAGCTGGGTGAAAGCACCTCGACCTTAGGCTTCAGCTCTGCCTCTTGCTCCAGCCCTCTGAAGCTCAAGGCATCTCTTCACTCAGCCAGCTGCTGACTGCTGAGGCTGAAAAACCCAAGATTGACAAGTAAAATGGCACAGTCCCAAAACTGTAAAACCACACAGCAGGCCACTAATTCAAGTCCATTAACAGTCCCAAGACCAGCAGACAACATGGCAGGTTACTGAATGACAACTCGGCTACATGCATGATTCAAGGATGCCAAAGCTAGAGACCTTCG